CGTCAGGAGGAGGGGGGAGAGGGAGGAGGAGGAGGAGGAAGAGGACGATGAGGACGACGTTGACAATGATAACGAGGACACGGAGGAGGAGGAGGTGGGTGCGGCGAAGACGAGCAGGTCGACGCGTTTTACGCGGCGCGAGCAGTGCTTCGTACGGGCGGTTAACGCCTACAATCAACGAAGTTTCCGCTCGCAGTACGACAGCTTCCGGAACATCGATGCCGGGGAGGCGCTCGTGGTCGCGCACAGACAGAGTCCTGGGCTCGGGTCGAAGGCGAGGCCGAGAGCCCCGGCAGCGAGCCGCGGCTCTGGCAACGACAAGCGCTCGACGCCCGAGAACTTCCGCAAGCCGAACATCGGCAACGAGAGCAAAGTCATTAGGACGGCCCTGCGTATTCGCGAGAGCTGCGATTCGGCCTCGGAGCGCGACGAGCCCGAGGAACCCATTTACGAGACGCCGGCGATCCTGAAGAAGAGCGAATTCGTCACCGATGATAAAGGTATTACGGCCGCGTGGTCTTCCCGTATCATCATCGCTTGTCCTGCCTTCCGAGGATCAGTCCTGCGATTAATTTCATTAATTTGGCTTATCCCCTCGCCTACCACCATACGGCCAATATAAGGATAAGACCGAACATTCCATCTTCCGCATACTTTCCAATCCTGGCAACCGAATGCAACGCGCTATTTACTCCGAGATACTTTAAATTATTAATGATATACCCGTATGCAGGAGTGTTTGTAAATGTTTGTAAATTTTCCCTTTCTCGATCATTAATGATAACAGCATGATAAACCATAATAATAAATGGGGGAGGGGGGGGGAGAGAAACATTTAATTTTCTTATTGAATACAAAGGCCTTGAGTTAATTTTCTGATTATTTTTTTGTGAAAAGTCATTTCTTGCGATTTTACGAGAGAACGGTTGAAGGTCAATGTTTTTTCTTTTCTTTTTCTTTTTCTTTTTTTTTTTTATTTAACATAAGCTTTTCGTACACTATAAACGCCATTCGAAATGTAGATTTGGGGCGAATAATCAAATAATCGGCAATCGAATAAATACATTACGATTAGTCGACAGCGACGCTTGTCGTTAATTAAATAAATAACGCTTATTATTAAAATATTCGTGTCAGATGAAGGAAATTGTGGCATTTAATGTTGGAGTTTATCGTCGGCTTATTCGTTGCATTAATGTCACGAGACATTATCGAGCGTCCAAAATATCTCGATTCACTTGACTAAAACGTCATCGAGTCGGATTTGTTACTTTTTTGGATAGTTAAAGTCACGTATCGTTATTGCAAAACTCTTAATTAATGTAATGACAAGAGTCTCCAACGAATTGCCAACAAATAATTTTGATATAATGGCCTATTTGTGATTAAAAGGCTTTTAAAATGTCAGTCTCGACTACATGTATTAAGATAGGCCGGAAGCCAATGGCTTTAGACCAGCTGGCATATTATCATCCTAAATCTGCTGCTCAATCGTCTGTCTAACCCTCGCTGTTGGCCAACAGGCAATTTCGGCAACTACGACAATCTGCAGCACGTGTGGGAGGGTTGCCTGGGTGCGGACGGCGACGCCGGCGTTCAGGACAGCCCGACGAAACCGGCCGTCTGGCTGACTAAGCTCTGCGAGGGTCTACCCGATCAGCCGCAAAAGTGCGGCTCCCTGCCACGCAGCTTCCAAATGATGCATCCGGCGGACCTTAGTCACGTCTCCAAGTCCAGATTTCTGCAGCGCGACGGCAGATCAATGACCGAGCGTCCCTTCACCATCGCCTCGGACAAGCCCGCGGAGATCAATCTCGAGGACATGGAGCGCTACGCCTCCACCTGCCAGGGTTCTGCCCGCATAGCCAAGTTTCCCATTACCGGGGCCTCCTCCGTCTTCGCCTCGTCCTCGACGTTTTTCTGCTCCCTCGATGACGCCTCCTTCACCGACACGGACTCGATCGCAAGGAGGACCACCACCGCTACTCTCTCCGCGAACAGCCACGTACATCCCGATCACAAGATTTACAGGGCCAACGGCTCCACCAATAAGGGTAAGCAGTGAGCTTACTTTACTCCCTCCTCCTCCGTCCCCATCCCACAGCAAAAAAGCTTTCTTCTCAAACACGGCAGCCCGCTCGCCATTACGTGTATTTTTTCATCTAATTTGTATACGAAATATAGTGACAGGCGCTTTGTATGCGAGCATGCCTTTCTTTTCTCTCTCTCTCTCTCTCTCTCTCTCTCTCTTCCCCTTCCCCCATCCCCTCCCAATCCCCGGCTCCCGGTCCCAAAGTAGCCTAACCTAAACCTACAACTACTTATTATTGCCTGTTGAGGTCAACAAGCGCATGACCTTGCCGTTTGTCGAAAGTTTCAGAGCTGGGAAGCGGCATAATCGGCGGCTTCTCGGGCTCGAGCCTCAGGAGCGCTCTGCTCCGGGCGAGCAGTCGACTTCAACAGGGTCTGCGCTCGAGCCACAGTACGGAGGCCCTCGAGTGCGGCCGGGCAGAGGGAGAGTCATCATCGGGGCGCGGGTTTGGGAAGCGCGCGAGGCAGCGGAGGCTCGGCCTCGGTGATTATTGGCGACCGTATCACAGGCAGGGTAGCCCGGGCCTCGGGGCGCGCATCGCTCAGGCGGATTACGCGGACCCGGCGGCGTTGCTGCTCGCGGCTGAGGGCCGTCGCCGGGCCGAGGAGGCCGACGACGAGGATGCCGAGGCCGAAGAGGCCCTCGAGGCCGCGGACGCTGGGAGCTTCTACGAGGGCGAGGACGGGTTCAGAGACAGTGCGATATTCAGCGACGGGGATGAACAGCCGAGCCGCGTAGCGATCGTCGGCCCGAGCTTGGCCGTAGCCTCGGCGAAGCGCAGGGCGCGACGTTCGCCGGACAAGCCGGCCCTCGCTCAGAAGCCGGCCCATCTGAAGCTGCGTGCGAGGATCGTGAAGTGTCGGGGTCCGAGAATCGCCGACGAGCCCGAGGCCGACATCTCAGCGGGCCAGAGCCAGGTCGGCTGGGTGAAGAAGATGGTTGGCCAGCTGCAAGCTCAGGTCGACGCGTGACCAAGCAGGGGGCCACCGGCTTTGTGTCTCCTGCCAAAAACACTAAGACTGATTCGACTATTCGTGTTGGGGAGAGGGGCCTGCGGGCAGGGAAAAGAGGTCGTTTGTCGCGGATCAAGCATTTGTTGTGTTGTGTTGTGTTGTTTTTCTTTTGTGTGTTTTGCTGGTGGGGAAAGATTGAGGAGGAGGAGCTTGAAGAAGCGCGACTCGACTTGATTTCAAATCGCAACGAGGGCCGGATGGATAACCGAGGCCCAGGATGGATTCGTGGCTTTTCTCAAGAGTGTGCTCGTGCCGTTACACGTGTGGCTGTAATGTAATTTAATGTTTCGATAGTTAATAAATCGGAAACGAATTGTCTCGTCGAACGGCTTACCATTTTTCGTAATCCTAATCATTCGCCAATAAGATCGAAAAGTAAATAAAAATTTCTCGTCGTTAAAATTCGTAGAAATATTATTTATGCAATTAGAAAATTAAGTCGAAAGTGAATATTGTCGTAGAATTCGTTAATTAGCCGGTCACAATAATTACATAACAGCAAAAGTTGTGTGTCCACTGGCCTTGGTTAGGAATTAATAAAATCGTTAATTTATGATCGAATTCTTAAATACCTTTTAACGAAATATTATACTTTTGGTTCGCTTCTTCTTCTTCTTCTTACTTTATTTTTTCTTTATTATTATTATTATTATTATTATTAATTTTTTTTAATTTTTTTTTTTTTTTTTTTTTTTTTTTTTTTTTTTTTTTTTTTTAAACAGAACCCCGACCCGACTGTTTTGATATATTATTAAACTTTCTTGTCATTATAGAAAGTCTTGAGTCACGAGTTCGTTACGAGAGAGTTGTATTTAAAGAAACTATAATGTACATTTAAGAAGATAGTGTTAACTGATAAAAACAGACGGTGTCAAATTATTCAGACGTGAAATTTTGTGTTTAAAAAATTGTTAAAAGTTCGTAGTAATTTTGTAATAATATGCGTTCGTTTTTATTGAATATAACTTGTGATAAAACTGATATGAACTGTTCGCATTAAAAGCATTATGTTAATAATGACAGCATAAATTTATGTAAAAATCTTATTTGTTTCTCTTTATTTCACGCGATCAACATCGCGTCAGAAATAATTTATTGTATGTTTTACAACAATAGTAATAATTTAGTCCTACATAATGTCAATGAACGAAAGTGCGAGGAAGCCTCCTCTCGCTCGCTGTTCTCTCGCAATTATGGTTCGGGGCAACGAAGCTTATTCAAAGATAAAAGTGACAAAAAAATAAAACAAAACAAAACAAAACAACAAAAAAACATATGAATAATAACACGGTGGACAAAAACTATGTATTTCGTTGTGCAAGAGATGTGTGTTTGAATCGAAATTGGATTATCTCCGCACGCACAATCATTGTTAATTATTGAAAGTGAGCATATCCAAACATATCGACTACTTACCGTTCGATATTAAAATCAATCATTATGAAACATTTCAGTTAACATAAGTAAATCACAGATAAAGTATTATAGCGTAATGACCGACCATATAAATGATATACGTCCCTCTGTACTGTATTAAAGTAATTAAAGCAAATTAGGAGCTAAATATGATTAAATGATTAAATTGAACGCTATGGTTATGAACTCGAGACTTCAGGTCTGACTAAATAAGGCTGAATTTTGCTGTTCAACTGTTGGCGACTTGGTGCAAAAAATATACGTCAATATGGTTAATTAAACTACGATTTAAATTATTCTGTAAGCGAAGAAAAGTAATGGGTGGGACAACTTGGCCATAATGTCGTGCGATAAACTTTTGCATTTTTTTACTCTTATAGCTTTAATCTTAATGCAAATGATTTTCGAGTCTTTTTTTTTTTTTTTTTTTTTTTTTTTTTTTTTTTTTTTTTTTTTTTGAAATCTACTGTTAAACTGTGTTATAGTCTAAACTTGCCTAAAGCAAAGTACAAGTATTTTATAATTATCAAGCGTTACGAGGAAAGAAATGTTTTTTGACGTCGATGGAATGGATCGATTCTTTTCTGAGATCAAAATGATTTCAAAATCATCGATTTACCATCAATTTCAAATCGATTTATATAAATTCATGTAGATTTGTATGTACATTTTTAACAAGAATTTACAGTGAAAAGGCTCGTATCGAGTTAAAAATCATTACAATAAATGTATCTTTACCGAAAGGCCCTTGTGTGTAGCATTTATTCTTAAGAATCCCTGCTGCTCCTTACGAGAGGATTTTTACAGATGAACAAAGATTAAATTTGCAGTAAATCCATTGGACGTAGCGATCGATCGATCGATGCTGTTATTATTAGTATTTTTAGGGATCTGTTTGAGAGGTATGTAGATGTCGTCTTTGTAGATGATCGGTAAGTCATTTATTCTATAAAGTACTATGATGATATTCAAATAAAAGTCCACGTGGTATTGATTTTAAGAAACAAGTTTTATTTAGAGGAGTTTCTATGCACAGAAACATCAGCTAGTCGCTTTTACACATGTAAGCAAATGGTAATTTATTAATTCGCGACGATTCTCTCAATAATACAATAAAATCATGTATAATAAAATCACGTTAATAAATAGATTCAATACTGTCCTATAATCGATAATCCCTATACGTTTTCTTTTTTCCGTGTAAAAAAAAAAAATAAAAAACAAAAAAAAACAAAAAAATAATAAATAAACGAATTACATAATAATGACGAAGAACAAGAATAAACATGCGGAACTGCCAAAAGTTCGAAAGCAGCGACGCTTCGTTATACACATTATGTACAACAGCACTAATAATGCATTACACACGATTTCTCAAACGCTGTCTTCTCGTCTCGTCACTCTCTCACTCTCTCTCTCTCTCTCTCTCTCTCTCGCTTTCTCTCGC